GAGGGGGGGGTTGCGACTCCAGCCACTGCGCACTACTCATCCGGAAGCTGCTGGTCTGGCAGCTCCTGCCACTGCTCTGAGAGGGTGCGTGCCCTGGATCTGCATGGGGCAGGGCGGGGCAGGCCAGGAAGAGCCCCACAGAGCCTCCTGGATGAGTGGCAGGAGAGGAGCCACCAGACCAGTAGCTCCTGGACAAGCAGCACACAGTGGCAAGAGCCATGGATGAGGCATGGCTCCTTCCTGTGCCTGCCCTACCCCAGCTGGGCAGCACTTGCCCCAACCCTGGGGGTCTTTAAGAAGAGGCTGGATGCCTACCTGGCTGGACTCATTTGAGTCCCGTTTCTTGTTTTGGGGTTTTGTTGTTCTCCCGCCCTGGCGGGGGGGTCAGGCTAGAAGATCTACTAGGTCCCTTCCGACCCTAAATCTATGAAACTATGAAACCCCACTCCTCCTTCACCATGAGGGCCTTGATCTGTCCCCCATGCCCTTTTCCCCCAGCTCTCCCTTTCTACCACACCAGACTTACCAGCTGTATGTAGCTCTCCAAGCTGCCAGACTGCTCCTTACTACCTACATGCTATACTACTGCTGCGTACACACATGGACATTTATCAGCCAAATTAGCAGCCACATCAGGTCAATTTCCAATACAATCAGTTTTCTTTATATCTGTGCCAATCGAGTATACCAGTGCACTTCTACTTTAGTAACATTTCCTTCATAGTTTTGATGCAACAGTATTACATAATCCATTTCTTTAATCTGCTGGCCACCACTTGTGATCAGCCATAACCCGTATCTTTTTAAAAAACAAGAAAATAAGAGACAGAGCACATCATGCCTGGCTGCATTACTAGTGCATGATTTACCAAGCAGAAGAAGATGCCCAAGTCCAGACTGTGCAACTTCTTAGTGACTGGCACCCACAGGCCCCAGCCACACATCGCAAGATCCACAAACAGCTCTACACAAGCCACCCCTTCATCTGCCGATGTATTGTGATGTGTTAAAAACACCCCAACAGCTTCCAGCCCTCTCACTCTGCACTACATTGGCCCCTGACATGAAATATGCAAGCCCTCCCCCACTGCACCACAGGAGTCCAGTGTACCATGCCACAAGCACCACCCCCCATTGATATCACATGGCCTGCCACACAGGCTCCCCACAACACCAGAGCCCTGATATGCCACCCAGGCTCCCTATGCACAGACACACTGCATGGGGTCCATGGGTCCCTCCAAGCCCGCCAGCCATAGGCTCCCTTAGCACCATGGACCACACCATTCTGTGTCCGTATACCCCCTCTCCCCCCCATCCCCAAGAGCAGGTACAGGCAGTAAAAGCTGAAAGAAAGAAGTCAAGGGGCTCTGGCAGCAACAGCAAGAGAGCGCAAGGGGGGTGGAAAAAAAAGTGGTACTCAGGTCAGGAGCCACATTTTAAAAACACTTCAGGGGACAGGGGGAGGAGGCTGCATGAAACCCATAAGCCACCAGTTGGATAACCCTACCTTAAGTCATTCACTAATTTCATTCGAACGTTGAAAGTTGCCTGGTGAAGAGGGAGACTCCTAACTCAAGACTGTGAAACTCAGCCACCATAAACACATTATCTCCTGTTTGTAGGCTTCACTCCTAAGCACTCCCACCCTTGATGAAACAAGTGCCTTTTGTTTTATGACTACGTTTCATGTACTCCTTCTGATAATAGGTGATCTTGTAGATAACACATTCAACTAGGACTCTGAGATACCTGGAGAATCCAATGGAGAGTCAAAGCACAAAGAAACTGAGGCCAAAATCCCTGAAGATATGCAAGTGACTAAACCCCTCTGGCAATCTGTATCTGGGAATTGTAGCCCATTTCTCCCACCCACTACCCATCTTGCAAATTCTAACTTTTATTTCAACTTCATATAGTACTTGCATATAGAATTCTCCTTCAAGTTGGGACTTGTGAGCATTGCTGCATCAAGCAGCGGCAGAGCTGAAGGACATTGCTCATTTGACTATAATCAAGCCAATAGGACACATGTTTAAGACAGGACTGTCCAAACAAAAGAAAACATGTGATCACCATATATACGTGCCCCACTTCAGGTGTGTAGAGTACCTAGTCCAGACTAGTAGCAACTCAAAGCTGCAACCATCAGATATCTGTATAATCCATTACATGATGCAAGTTATGCTACGATACTAAAGTTTTAGCAGGGAACAAAGCAACCAACAAAGCAAAACCAGATATATACTGACACTGTAGAGGTGGTCCATCCAAATTTTAAAAAGTATCACAGCAGGGAAGTCAGCCATGTTAATTAGAATGTACATGCCAGGCCTAACAAGTACACTTTGGATTTAAACCAGTTTCTCAAAGTCAAAAACAAGAGGTGTATAGCACACTGTGTAATTTAAAAGTAACATACAGGACTAATAAGATACAAAAAGGCATTCTGATAAAGGATACTCGTAACAGGGTAAGAATTAACAAAGATGAGAGAATATAATAGGTAGTGGCAGCTGTCTTCTAACAAAGCCTGAGCCAGGAATGCCCTGCTGAGCTGAAAGTGTGGCAACCTCTGGTGTAAGCGAAGAGCACTGGTAAGAGCGTTTGCCAGCAAGGCACGCTGATAAAAACTAGCTGCTTCATGCAACCTGCAAGTTATCAAAGAAGATGTTACCATACACACCAAGCCACTGCCTCCAAGTCTTCTTCCCATGAGAATTGCATCATAATTGCACAATACCCAAATCTATTTCCACCAGCACCTAGGAGTAATTAACTTAAAAAAAAATGAAAGTATGTTGGTATTTACATAGCACTGCTGGTGTGCATGACAGTCAAACCTGCAGCTATGACAGCACAGCATTTCATAATAATACACAGAACTGCTTAGTAAGCCTTCTTGTTGAAGAAATTAGAGTTTATCACTCAGTTATGATTTTTTTTAATTTTACATTTGTAACATGTTCTAAACAACAAGAAAATACAAGGCCCACTATTTAACCTGCACTCTTTCCTTCACACAAAGTTCACTTTCACAAATAAAGGGAAGTTCAATTGGTTTTGTAACATCCTAGCATAACTAAAAAATATAATACGTACCCCAGGAGAGGCAAGACAAATAAAGCTGAACAGTAAACTGTGAACAAACGGGAAATCCACATTGCTGTGTCTAATTTGTTGGTCATAAGAAATTGCTATAATCAAAGATAAAACACACATTTGGTTAGTAACAAAAATATCTGTAACAACAATCCCAAAATATTCCCCACCTCATTTGCAACAAACATATAGTAAGGACCATTGTTTTGTTCTGTGTTTATACAAACTCCTAGCATGATGCATCCTAGTCCTTAGCTGATCCTCAGCACTATGGCATTAAATATGAGAAATCTCTCTGTCCATCAAAGAATACAGTTTAACTAGAACAGAAACCCATATTTAGGAAGCGGTGCATGTCTGGAGGCCCCCTCTGTATATCAGGGCTAAATACATTGGGATCCCTACATAGGATCATGGCCTTTCAAGAGCACAATTTTGCCATGTCAAAAGGGGCCACCCTGGGTGGCAGGTCATATCAAGAAGAGGCTTGCTAGTCACATTTTGGAACCCCCTAGTAACTGTACCAAAAAAAGGAGTACTATCTGACTGACTGCATCAAAGGGTTGCAGGCCACATCCACTTCATTTGTCCCCTGCTAGAGAGTCTCACACTAGATTTTCTTCCCCACCCTGCTCCCCAAAGAACACAAGCTAATCTATGGATGCAAGATCTGTTTCAGAGGGTTTGACTGTGAGATTGAGGTCTGTTCTTTACTGATACAGTCCTGCAATATGTGGCTGGTCTTATAGGCATTAGACTGCCCTTTTCCATTTTAGGAGCCATTTAGGGTTGATTTAACTTATACCAGCAGCAACAGTCTCCTAGGTTCTATTCAAAAGGACAAAACTAGGAGGTCAGTTTGTTTTAGGCACAATCCTTTCCACTCCTTGTGTAACAGGGGCTGTAAACAGGTAAAAAATAGAGCCTGTTCCATGCCACAGGAATATCTGGGTGACCATTCTGGGAAGGCCCAGCCCTTACTATGAAGTTTGCAGGAGTATTCCTCTCCGCAAAGATTTGTTTTTAAAGACGTTTTTTAAAAAAAGGAGTCAAGCCGCCAGGACTGAGCTGAAGTGATGAACCATGGGGTAATGATTTAGAAATCAGGTTACAAGCCTCTTCATACCACCAGTTTGTTTCTGCGTTTGCCTACTGAAACTGCCAATACAAGATATACCATTGCACTGCATTAATTCAGATTTTAAAGTCCTCCCACAAGGGCACATCCCAAAACAGTCAGGACTCACTGGCCAGCAGGTGCAGACAGGTGGTACGTTTCTAGCAAGAGACATGCTGCTACCACGGTACAGCAGTAATTCTCAACCAGGGTCTAAGGTAGAGGAGATGCAGGCAGGCTTGGCTGCTCCCCTGCTCACACTGCCCAGCCGCACGGCCGAGCCCGAGCCCAGTTTTGAAGCAGGAGCTGCACATGAGAACGGGCACATGCGGCGGGTGCCCGGGGGCAGCAGGCGAGGCCGAGACCCGCTGTGCCCGAGACTTTGCGGGGCACGCGGCTTCTCTCGCCAGCTCATGACAGCTACCCGCGCCAGGGCTTGCCCCGCTCCCCAGGGGCTGTGCGAGGTGCTGGACGGCCCCGGCCCGAGGCCCAGCTGGCCCACGGAGAAGAGGGGAAGCTTCCCCCCTCACCCCCGGGGGCGGGGTCCTTACCACGGCTCCGCCGCCGGCGCCGCCCTGCACTGGCCCGTTCTGCGCCGCGTCCGCCATGGCCGCGCCGAGCCGGGGACCTGTGGGAGACACGCGGCCGCGCCCGCGGCGTCAGCGCCTCCCTCGCCGCCAGGGGGCGCTACCCGCCCGCCTCGGCCCGGCTTGTCCCTTTGCTCCGGGCTCGGCGGGGGCCGTACCAGGCAGGCCGACACCGGCCGGGAACAAGCGGCAGGAGCAGGTGACCGCGCGGCGCCCGGCTCGGCCCGGATGCGGAGCGTCACTTCCGCCCAGGCCCGGAGCACGCTGGGTAGCGAAGGCCACAGTTCAGGTCCGCCCGCCCTTTAACGCGGCGCGGCTTCACCCCGCCCCGCCGTGGCTGGAGGAGGACTAAGTGTAGTCCTGCGGCGGCACGTCACACCGAGCACCCTGCGTCGGGGACGCCCTCACCCCTAACGTCATAACTTCACCTGCCCGGTGACATCACACCGATGGTCACACTTCCGCCTTTCGCGTCACAGCTGTAGCTGAAGGGGGCCGTAAAACAGAGCAAGCGCCCGGCTGGCGCTGGGCCCTGGCCCGATCCGATGCGATCAGCTCAGATCAAGCGCAGTCTATGCTTACCTGGCAAGAGAAACACCGCGACCACCGAGGAGGACCGCTCTCCTGGCACGGGGGTAGTACCTGCCAAGGTGATGTATAGTGACCCTCCCACTTAGCTGCTGGACTGGGAAGGTCTTGACTTTATGTCTACTGTATGGAAAGGGGAAACTCCTCCCTAGTTTGCTCCTGCTTCTGTGGCCTTATGGCTGAGGACAAGCAAGCCTCCGGGCTAGGGTCTGCACGTAGGATGCCCACTAAAGGATTTGGAAACATCTGAAGCCCCAGATGGGGGTGGAGGATGTTTGCAGGGCCACTTGTGGTTCTGGACTGAATCACTGATTTGGAATTTGATTTGGCAAATTTGTCTTGGAATACAGAAAATTCAAAATAAAAAAATAAACTTCTGCGCCACATAGATGAGGTGACTGAAACGAGTGGGGCAGGGCAGGCGTCGAAATCCGCTGGCTTACAGGGCCGGAGAAGAAGTTCCCTCCGTCCCAATCACTTCTGATTTCACACTGTTCCCTCATTTAAGCCCAGTGTCCTCAACACC